CTGGGGCCCGCGTGCAAGTTGAAGTATCAGGGAAGAAAATGTGGTTGTGGATCGATAGTGGATCCCCAGTGACTATTTTTAGCATTAACGACCTAAAAGAAACGTTAGGTAAAGCGAATATTCATCTACAACCTTCAAAAGACGAATTCCTGGACTATAACAACAATCGAATAAAAATACTGGGGAAGGTAACAGTGATGATGTCATTAAACGGCTGGGCAGCACCAGCACAAGTGTCGGTTATATCCGGGAATCATCAGTGAATCCTGGGGCGGGATCTTATGGGCACCCTGGGCCTCGAGTTAGTCCAACGGAAGAAAGTGATGGGAATCACAGGGGAAGGAATCAGCCAAGAGGAGGAGGAATATGACGAATTGCAAACATACTTCTGTAAGTTGTACCCAAATTTGTTTACTAGGATAGGGAAAATCCGGAATGCAAAAGTAAGAGCTGAATTTTTTGACAATTTGAGGCCCATACAACAAAAAGGACGCAGGGTGCCAATCAGTCTACAAGATAAGGTGGATAAAGAAATTCATCGGCTGATAAATGAAGGGCATATCGTAAAATTACAAGAATGCTCAGATAAGTATTTCGTCTTTCCCATCGTAATTACAGTAAGAAAAGATGGAAGTATAAAAATAGCACTGGAATCAAGAGAATTAAACAAGCAGGTACACAAAAATAAGTACCAAATGCCAAATATTGACGAATTAGTAGACGGAGTAAGTCAGATTATTGCGGAGAAAAAAGCGGGGAATGTACATTTTACAACGTTGGATTTCACATATGCGTACGGACAAGTCGCTTTAGAACAAAAAACGAGCGAACAGTGCAATTTCTCACTCGTTGGTGGGAAATCCACAGGAACTTATCGTTTTAAAAACGGATTTTACGGGTTGACGTCAATGCCGGCGGAATTCCAAAAAGAAATTGACAATTTACTTAAAGAGTTCCCTCAAGCTAACGCGTTCATTGATGACATCTTAATTTCTTCAAAAGGAACTAAGATCGAACACATCGCGTTGGTAGAAAAGATATTGAAAAAGCTGGATATTTCTAATGTTGCTTTAAAATTACGAAAATGTGAAATTGCGAAAACAGAGTGCGAATGGCTCGGATTTCGAATTGGAGAAAGTGGTATTACACCCTTAGTAAGAAAAACACAAGCAATTGAAGACATGAAAACCCCAAAATCTCGAAAGCAGTTGAAATCTTTGATGGGTTCACTACACAGTTTACACAAGTTTTTACCCAAACTCGCAGAATTAAGCGCACCGCCGAGGCCACTACTAAGTCAGAATAACGATTTTGTTTGGACTAGCGTTTGCGAAAATGCATTCCAACATTTAAAATCGCTGGTGAAAAATATTGTCGAATTACGACACTTCGACATTCACCGGGAGACTAGAATTATTTGTGACGCTAGTCACGATGGTTTGGGGGCCGTGTTAGAAAAGTATGGGGCATCCGGGTGGCATCCCATTTCGTTTGCATCGCGTTACCTTAACTCGGCTGAGAAAAAATACTCCACGAACAAATTAGAATTACTTGCAGTAGTGTGGGCTACGGAACATTTTCGAAATTACAAATATGGCCGTTATTTCACAGTTATTTTGGACCATAAGGCCCTGCTAACGTTATTAAATTCATCTCCGAAAGGAAATAAAACGTTTTTCAGCCGACTAACGCGTTGGTACGATCGGTTAGTGCCGTACGATTTTAAAGTTGAACACAGATAGGGGTCTAAAATGGGAATGGCAGATTATTTGTCCCGGTTTCCATCTGCAGCGGCACCCGAGACCAGTCGTTACGATGAAAGCTTTATAGTAGCGAAAATAAAAATGATAAATGAAGCTCTAAATCCTAGGGCTCAAATGAAGCCTAGGGGTCAAAATGTGAAACATCTAAAACCAATACCGGCGGTAGAGGGCGATCAGTCATGTCCTGACATAACGACAATTGTCGCATCCAATGGGAATACAAGAACAATTGAATATGCAAATACTCACAGTGAGAGTAAACGCTCACTAGAGGGCGTTTTTGCATGCAACCGGCGGTTAAACAATCAGATTCAAGAGATTTGCATACCGGCGGAAATATGCAAATATCAAAGAAGAAATTTCAGACATCGTTCTCGCTACGCAATTTCAAGTCGCAAAATACAAGATATGAATAACATGAATAGTAAAAACTCAATAAATTCACCTGAAAAACATGATCAATTTACCTCTGCTATTGTAAATACATCAACCAATTCTGGAGACGTTAATCTTAACCTTGTGCTTAATCGTTTAAATCAACCACCCAGTCTTAGTTCTGTCAGTTCGGACTCGGATATTGAGTTAATACCGCCCGAAATTATCGATAAAAACAAACAAATTCGAAGAAATCCAACACTATAATCTCATTCCCTCATCAGTTCCCAGGGTTATCCTACCCATTAGTACAGAGCGATAAATGGGTTTACTCCATAGTACCGTCGGACAGTAAAGTTGTCAGAAAATTGGAACATCCGGAAATTTTGAGTTTAAAGTTAGTCAAGGCTAAACTGGAGAAGGACCCCATTATGAAGACCATACGTGACGCGATCAGAGACAAAAACCCAAGAGCCAGAGAAATCATCACTAAACTAGGACCATATTACGCCCAACACTATAATGACTTCGCAGTACGGGAAAACTGTCTGTGGATGGACGGCCGGTTGGCCATACCTAAGGACATGTCTTCAGCAGTCCTCAACCGCCAACACTTTCAGCACCATGGACGAGACAAGATGTTCGCTGCCGCAAAGGATGTGTGGATCCCTTTGATGCACCGAAATATTGCCGCAACAGCGAAGTACTGTAAAAGCTGCGTAGAAGCAGGTAAAAATCTCAAACCAGATATCCCGAAACGTGATATTGGGGAAACGTATGTACCTAAAGAACCAAACGATTTGGTCCAATTAGATTTCTGGGGCCCAGTCAATTATGTAAGGGATAGGAAGAAATATGTACTCGTAGCAGTAGATACTTTTTCGCACTGGCCGTCAGCATATATATGTTCAAGTAACAAATCTAAAAATGTATTAAAGTTCCTAAGGAAGTACATAAATACTCATGGACACCCAAGGAAGTTGCATATGGATCAGGCAACGGGGTTTTTCTCGAATGACATCCAAAGTTTCTGTAACTATGAAGGCATTGAACAAATCAAATCTCCAGTTAAGGATCATCGCGCAACGGGAATGGTCGAAAGAACGATTGGGTCGATAAAAAATTACGTGCTCACTTATCTCCAGGAAAATCAAAATTACAAATTTGGGGAAATGATATCTCGAGCGCTCAGCGCTTTACGTTTTGTGCCACATTCTAAGACTAAATTAACACCCTTTGAGGCATATCATGGAAGAGAAGCAAATACGGCGTTTCGAAACTTAACAAAAACACCATCATTGAAAAATCTAAATTGGAACAATGTTGTTAACCAGAAGCTATCTTGTTTAGACAAGGCGAGTAATCTCCCTGAGGTGGAGCTGACCCTGGATTGGGAAAAGAGAAGCGACCTAGTATACGCACCAGAGCAAAGAAAAACCCCAAGGATTTTGGACGGTGATGAGATAATTGACAGGGATCCAAAGGCCACGGAGATAGCAGATAAAGTTCCAAAGCATTCAGGATGGCTAAAACGGCACAAGACAAGCTCAACAACAGTCTACCAAAAGACGGGAAAAACAGACCCAAAGGATCCAAGGAGGTATAAACGCTTACCATTGAAAATCGATAAGTTAACTGATCATACTGTGAAAATGGAAAAAGGGGCGTTATTAAGACGAAGTGGTGTTTCTTTTAGAACGGCGGCTGAGGAAAGCCAAATCAGGGATTTGAACAAAGCGTGCATCCCGGGTCCTAGCAAGTACCGAAAAAGCACCCCGGGTCCAAGTGAACCCGGAAAAAGCACCCCGGGTCCAAGTGAGCCCGCAAAAAGCACCCCGGGTCCGAGTGTACCCACGAAATTCAAACGAAAGGCGGAAAAGGAAAAAATCACAATGGGACAGGCGAAAAAAGCAGCAAAACCGAGGAATGTGGAATATAGCGAAGACGAGAGTGAGGAGAATGACATGAGCGATTGGACAGTCGAGGAGGACGAGGCGGCAAAGACTGCGGCGAGTAAGGAAGTAATTGAACCGTCGGATACAGTTGTCACGCGAACGCCGAAGACCGTCGAAGGAAATCGGAAGAAAGGCGCAGAGGGGACAAGAAGAAAACCGCAGAGGGGACAGGCGTTGACAAGAAGGGGGGTGTCATGATTCATCGCATACAACACAAGTAACATGACGCAGATCGAAAAGAAAAACCTAAATGAGAGGTTTGGCAAGTTTGCCTGAAAACTCAAGTTAAACTGTTTGCCTGAAAACTCAAGTTAAACTGACAATGATCTGTAACATGAAACTGCAAGGATAACAAATACAAGTTGATAAATTTTATACAAGTTAAAATTTATTTGTGGTTGCCCGAATGAGATAGGGACCAGTTTTTAAGTTTATGTAAATGCCATCAATTGTTTTCTTTCTGTCTGGAGACCTGCTCCTTTGATCTTGTGATCTCCAACGTCCGTTCTGATCTGAAATAAAACAGTGCAGTAAGATTTCGATTTGATGCCTAACAGTTGAACTAAAAATACAACTTATTCACAATCTTTTGATATTCCAAACATACGACTTTAACAGCACACACAACTATTTTGAAAACTTTACGGGAAATATTTATATTGCTGATATAATTGTCTGTGATGGGGGGGGGGTTCAAAAACTCTCAATGGAGATATTCGTCTTTTTTAGGTTGTCGACCTATATGATTGTCCTTGCTCTCCGCCAAAAAAAAGTGCAATGGTTCCATTTTTCGAAATTTTTCTCAGCCACAGCAATTTTTTTGAACGTTTTCGGGCACTTAAGACTTAGACCAAGTAATTGCGCTTCGCGTCAAAAGCGCGTGTAGAAAAATGAGGTGTGTTTATAGGTGATCTTGGACCCCCTGACAATCAAGAAGATGTACGTGAAGAGCTGGTTCACAGTGGACTTTGTCTCCTCAATTCCCCTAGACTACCTCTGTCTTCTCTTCACCAACGGAGAGCAGGCCACCACTGGCACTAACATACTCAATGCCTCCAGAACACTCAAGATGCTGAGACTCACCAAACTACTCAGGTACAGGAATCCATTAGTGCAAAAAACCCAAATTATGGAACAGATACTCAAACAAACTGTGAAGTTTGGAAAACGCTATTGAGGCCGACATTTCGGTACTTTGAGTGTCTCCGAGCTAAAAGAAAAACTATTACTTTGCTCAATACCACTATTACTTTGCTCAATACCTTTTTTTAGGTCGATCAAATTGATTTTCCGAGCTCTCCCAAAGCACTAAAAGTTCCCTATTTTGGGTTTTGGCCAAATTTTGTGCGCCGCAGGCAAAATTTTGAAAAAAACAGGCCAAACAGGCCGTTTTTTTGGCAATTTTTGGAAAATTTTGACCAAAAAATCGCGTTTTTTCGTTGCGCGCTACCCCTCAAAATTAAAATAAATTAGCTCCGAAGGCGCCTTTAGAAAAATTTCAGGGTCCGTCACCAAAAATGGATATTTCAAAATAGTACAAAGGGGAGACCCTTTGGGTCGGCAGGGGGTCGAATCAGTGAGGGGTAGGGGGCGTCCGCCCCCCTAAATCCGCCCCTGCATTGCATGTAGTTTTTCGGACACAGCTGAACAGCTCGTATGTCGCTCGATTATCACGGATATAAATGGTCTTATTCTGTTGCCTGTTAATTAAATATAACTTCTGTTTCAGCCTAATGCGACTTCTGAGAGTATCTCGACTGATGAGATACGCTAGTCAATGGGAGGAGGTTAGTAGTCTTAATTCAAAACTGAACTGAACATCACCCAAAGCTGATTGACCACTGTCAGCTTAAAGCCACAAGGGTTTTCGAATATACCTGATTTGTTTTAATTTATAGCAAAACTGAAACCGTTTTTTCAGCTTATGCCAAATTATTGTTTCGCATCACCTTTGAGCACTTCTTTAATAGAAATATTATAACTTTTTAATATATTTTAACATGGTCTAGTCATTGTAATACATGAAATCAAATTTGTTTTTTTTAACGTTATATTGAACAGTTTTAGCTTAATAAATTCGTCTAGATTCGTTGACATTTAAGGTTTTATGCTCACCGGTCAGGAATTTAGTGGTTAATTCATTTATTTTATGCTTGCAGTTCTTCAATTTGGCGAGTGCGGCGTTCAAAATAGTGAATTTGATTTCGATGATGGTGCTGATAAGCCACTGGAACGGATGTCTCATGTTTCTCATCCCCCGCCTCTACGATTTCCCGCCCGACTGCTGGGTGTCACGTGACGGACTACATGTTAGCAGTGCTCTTTTTAGTTTTTCTTTTCTGTATACTACTTATGTTTTGTTTATGAATATTAGATTATTTGAACCCTACTTGAACCGATAAACCCGACAAGCTCTGTCAAAGCAAATGCCACAGGATGATAGCGGTAAAATGCAAATGTTATGATGATGTTGATTATCGCCATTTTATTGCTTTTATTTTACTCAAAAGTTGTATGCAGCATTAAATTTAAACGGGCGAAGCCTTGATCGGACGAAGCCTTGAAAATTTTGACTGCCTTATTTGAAAGTCTATGAAATAGTGTTCGCTTGAAAAAAAACTGATGAAATTCTTACAAAAATTTGAGACTTGTTTTTGAAAACCATCCCACCACACGCTTTATAAACTACAAAGTGATATGTTTTGCATAAACCAAAGTTTTGAACAGACCAAATATCATGCCCTCTTAAATTGGAACGATTTCTAAAGCGGATTAAAAAAGCCGATTACGAATTAATAGCCCGAAATTTGCAATCTTGAACCCGCCTTCAACTTTACGAAAAAGACTGCTCTTTTCAAGGCAAAGCCTTTAATATTTTGACACTCATTAGCTGACCTCGAATAACTTTTACTCAAAAAAATTTCTGACAAATTATGAGTTTTAAAGCGGATAATATCAAACTAAAAAAAGTGTTAAGATTTGAGTAGTGAGGAATTAATTCCAATCAGTTGTGCGGGATAGCTTGCCACGTGCAAGTAAACCGTGTTACGCTTTCAGGATTCTTAATAAAACTTTCAAGGGGAGCATATATTAGTCCAGAGCATGGCCAAATTGGCAATTTTCAAACTCCCAAAGCTTTGCAAATGTGATCGGAGGTAAAAAAAATCTTTTAAATTTGATTTTGGGAGTCAATATCTTCTACAGGGCATAACAATTTTTTTGTTAAGAAATATTATTTTGATCGCCGAAAATTGACTGAAACAAACCACAGTTAATATCTTATTAAACAAACCAAACATAAATAGTCCGTTTTTTTGAAAATTGGAAAAAAAAACTAGCAGAAGAACTACTGCGCAAAAATTTGTCAGTAAACTGTCAAAATTTACCAGTAAAAAAGTCTGGAGAAAAATTTACTCGAGCATAAATAATCAGTTTTTTTTCTTCGAAAGTGGAAACGATAAGTATAATTGATGAAAATTTTTAACATAAAGCCATATATCAAACATTTATGACGTTTTCTCAAGCATGAAATAATTCATGTATAGCAATACGACCGTTTTGTTCCGACTCTGGAAGAAAGTGGGGAATATTTATGCTTGTGGTTGGTTTTTTTTCAATTAAAATTTTCGTTTTATTAACTGAGCGTTTATGATGAAAATTTTTATATCATCAGAAATTTATTGTTGTCTGAGTTAACGCCTGTAAACAATTTTTTATTGAGTTATGTGGGTTTGAAAAAATTCATCTTGGCCAATTTGGGATATATTGCGTTCTTACAACACGTGTAAGAGGCAAATTAAATTGTTCCAATTTGGTTTGAAGCGAATTATTTGGTCTTATTATTAGGTTACAGGACGCTAAAGGCATCTTTTTTATACTTTACATAGATTGTTGAGGTATATATACTAAGAAAAAAAGAAAAAAAGACAACATTTGTTCTTTCTTCTGGTGGTTATATTAATTTTTAACAATAAACTTTTTTATTGGCTTTGAAGTGCAGTCGGACTGCTTGTGTCCGATTTCATTCTTGATGAAAAAATTCTTAGTAATTTTGTTATTTTTTGAACATCAGACGCGAATTTAGAGTGCTTAGATGAATGCGTCCTCTCCTCAATAATTCAACACCCTCGCCGCCGAAAGATTTTGGTATACTGATTTATGAAATCAATTTGCCGCCAATCAAAACTAGTTTTGAGGAACCGAACTTTTCGTCCGTAATTGTTTGCTTACTTTAAGTGATTACGTCTCAAATGGCATAATTCCCAAATGGCATAAAAAATGAAAAATTTCCCAAATGGCATAAATTTCATGCAACAGTTGCATTTAGAAAATCGAAATAACTTTTTCGTGAACAATGTGCGTGAAAAATGTGGTCAAGTTGTCATTTTAAATGCTGATTGATTTTTATCTTGAAAAAATTGTATTTTTTTTTATCAAAAGCGCGAAGCATAAGCTTGCAGTTATTGATAAGCTTTTTGTGGTCAATTGTCGCTCATTTTTTGTTTAGAAGCAATTAATTCCAAATTTTGTTGACATGTTTTCGTTCCTGACAAATGTTAGAATTTGAAATTGATAGCCACTGTTAGAATTGCAAAGAAAACATGAAATTTATGCGATTTCGGAAAAGTTTCATTTTTATTCCATTTGGGAATTATGCCATTTGGGAAGTTACCCTTTAAGTGCGCGCCCCAAAAATGCAATTTTTTGGTCAAAGCCCTCTAAAAAGTGCCAAAAACTGAATTTTTTGCGCGTTTTTATGAAAAAAAAATTGACTGGTACTCAAACTTTTGCTCAAGTCGATTAAAAAATTCTAAAATATGTCCGAAAATTTTTTTGCAAATTCTATCGAGAAAAACCAAGATCTTTCCCTGTTGAAAAAATTTGAACAATGGATATGTGTTTTTGTTCTGCTTTTTACTGCGATGAGGCGCTCGTGAAGTGTTAAGTAGGCCTTTTGTTGTTTCAGGGAAAGGAGTGGCAAGAGCAGTACAGCTGGTCTCTGTTCCGCGCCATGTCCCACATGTTGAGTATAGGCTACGGCCAGGAGCCCCCTCAGTCCCTCACCGACCTCTGGTTCGTCATCATCAGTATGCTAAGTGGGGCTACCTGCTACGCCCTGTTCATTGGCCACGCCACGAATATGATACAGCAGTTCGACAGTTCCAGGAGGCTATTCGCCGAGAAGGTCAGTTAGCCGATATATGTAAAGCGTAATGGGGGCGGGACAAATGGCATATTACGAAATGGAAAGGAACTTTGTATCGGGCACGTTTTTGCATGGAAATCGGGTCTTACAAAAAAACATCGCACGAGTTTGGATTGCAATAGAAAAATTCTAAATTGGTTACTTAGACTCGAACTGAAACGGTCAGATAATTTTTGATTTTCGGAATCTACTTTTAATAGCAAGGCGGTATTTTTCTCGTTACTTACAACGTCAATTTAAGAGAGAAAAGTTTGAATTATTCTTTTTATGCGATAATTAAACTGTTACAATGAAATTCTTGACACTTATTTTCACTCTCTTCCTCGTTCTCTCGGCACAGAAAAAGAAGATAGAAAAATAAAGACAAATTTTAGCTTTTTAATGAGTAAATAGCATCTTATGATATATCTCAATTCGAACCAACCATTTAGAGTGAAAGCCATTTTTGGGTTTGCTGCAAACTGATGTCATCTTTTGTTCAGAAGAGCTTAAAAAATCAATTTAGTTTAGCAAAAGAGGTCGATAACGCATTCAAATTTTTAAGAGAAAATAAGCCTTCCTAATGAAATGGTAGATTGATTTTGAAGCATATGTTACAAAGTTTATCTAATCTGCGCGAAGCTTGATCTGACTGCCTTGAAAGTTGCCTCGAGTTTTCTTTAAAAAAAAAGATTTTTTTTTCTTGGATTATCTTGAGTTTTAACTAACATCATTATTTTATGCGCCTATTAGCGAACCAATGGGACAATGCGCTTGCTTCGAGTGACTTCGGAATGAGTTCGAGTGCGGATTAATACTCCGCAATCAATTTTTTTGTACCGGCTGATTGAGCTTTCTAGACAAATGGATACAACCCAACCAGCGCATAAGTCTCGACAAATTGACCAAACCGTCGTTGTTCAAACCCCTTACAAAAACGATTGCAACTGGCCGTCTTTTTTCAATTTCGATTCAGAAGACACAAACTTTTAAGGAAACTCCCCGTTTAACCGTCGTTGAAATGTACCCTGCAAACAAAAATCAATTAGAATTTTTTCTGAAGGACTCATTATTTTTTTGGTTTTATTTTTTAATGCAATTCAGTTATCCAAAAATGGTCTAAAACCTGTTTTCTGTTTCTTAAAAAAACAGACTAGACGACAGTTTTTTCAAAATCTCCGTTTTTCGGATTTTTTTTTGGAATCAAATAATAATTTGAAAGAATTCAAGGCCGTGTTATTCTCATATGGCACCAAGTTCATTTTCCCTCTTCCCTAAGCAATATGGATTGGTGGAAAAAAATTGACCTTATTTGGGGTTTTTAGCAAACCGGAACCAAGGACTTTAGGCGCAGCGCTCTGCAAACTTAGGGAGGAAAAAATTAAGTTAGTTTATCCGGCTTATTAAATCATCAGGTATCTTTGATGCTTTAATTATGTTGGAAAAAGGCATAGAGGATGCTATTTTTTTCAAACAAAATTGATGAGATACGCACCAATTTAGGACTCAAGAATGCATGAGTACCAACAGAAAGTTATGGATCTGCGATTACTATGTTTACTTTTTGTTCTTATAATGCTTCGAAGTTAAAAAGTTTCTAAACTGAATATTCAAAAAAAAACTATTGGATGAAAAAAGCGCAAAAAAAAACATTTATTGCTTGCGATAATTTGTTTTAATTTGATATTTAGGCCTAAACATGTCGTCATTTTCATCCGAGCAATTTTTTGGGCGGTTAAAAGGAGGCAGCTGTAAATTCTCCCTTTATAGCGGGCTTTCAAAGCAATCCTAGCTTTTTTAAGAGCATGATGCGGAGCTTTTTTCTTTTAATTATAGTTCCGACCATTTGAAATGGAAAGGAACTATGTATTTGGGTCTGTTTTAGTTTTTTCTTGTTCCAACCATTTAAAAAATGGGGAGCAACTTTGCCTTTGGGTATATTTTTTGTTTTTCATGCAAAATCAGCTACTAAAAGTAATCATCGGAGAGTTAAGTGATATATCATTTTGAAGCCTTTTCAGTCGTGATTTGAACGTCTAACGTTATCAAAACATTTTCAAAAAACTTTCCCAACAGTGAGAAAAACTGGTTTGAAAATTTTGATGTTTCGTCTAAGTTCGAGTGAGCCAGTAGCCTTACAATAGTTTAATTTGATAGCTTAAAAGCTTACAGTTGCTTAATTTAAGCAGTTAAAACTCATTTTTACTCAACTCAAATTGATTTTTTGATTGTTTTGAGTATCTAAGCGCCTTTCTGGTAACAAAAACGTCAAAACTGCAAAAAAAACTGCAAAAAAAAACAAAAATAACCGGCTCTGCTTGTTTTTTTTCTTTGTTTTTCACGTAAAATCAAGTACCACAAACAGTCATAGGACTGGTTTGAGTGATATAACAGCTAAAAGCTCTTTCAGTCGCGATTCGAACTACTTTAGAAAAAAAAATCCAAAAAAAGTTCCCAGTGTTGAGAAATGTCGGTTTCAAAGTTTCCAGATTTTTGTCTTAATTCGAGCGAATAAAGCAAGTGAGCAGGCTTATCTTGTTTTTCGCGCAAAATCAGGTTCCACAAATCATGGTCGGACTGGGCTGAGTGATATATCATATTAAAGCCCTTTCAGTCGTAGTTCGAACGACTTCAAAAAATTTTGAAATTTTTTTCCCGGTGTCGGGACAAACCGGCTTCAATTTTTTGCTTTTTGTCCATTTACGAGTAAATGAAGTGATGATAACCTTTTTAATTGGTCATTTAGACAAAAAATGCTGTTACATTTTTAAGAGTGTGTATAGTTTTATCATCACCCCGCATACAAAAAACGACACTAAATTGAAGAACCTAATAAATTGAAGCACTTTTATTTGTAGTTTTTATGAATATGGTCGGACCATTCTGTGCTACTTGCACAGCAACGGGCTATTCTTGTTTTTTTTTTGAATACTAACACGGTTAACTTTCTTGAACTAATAGTTAAAGCTAAGTTGTTGGCAATATAATTTTCGGTCAACGATAACGATTCTGAACAAAGCATTTGTAAAAAAAAAAAGTAATTAAATTAAAATAAACCGTTGATGTCGTTTAAGTTGGTCAATGTCGCCAATATTGTCAACAATTTGGTATCAACAAAAACAAAATTGTTTATTTTTGGCCAATGATGGTTCAAGTTCTTAACGGGAGTTTCATGGTCGATTTTTTTTCTCGACTTGCCCAGCTTATCAAAAATGCTGTAAACAACATACCATCTTGCTAAAATTGTCTACGACGAGGGGCATTTTTTAAGAAAAACTGTCCAAATCTAAAACACCATTATTAAGCATTTTTGGAAGGACTTGTCCCGAAAAATATTACATATTTACGCAAAGATGCATGTTGAATGTTCAACGGTCAGTCGGTCAAAGATATATGTTAAAATAGTACTAAAACCGTTTAGTTAGTTAGTTGGTGACCCTCTGGTTAGTGACAGGGTCGAATTTCCCAAACCGCTTTTGCCGTGGGGCATTATATGGGAGACGGTCCTATTTTAGCAGAGTAATTTGTGTATTGTTCCCTTCAGAGAATGGCCTAGTTTCAAACAAGATATGAACTTCGACGTCACCACGTGATTGTGAATTCACCTATTTTTGACTTCATTTAGATGCAGCAAATAGAAGAGTACATGGCACATAGGAAGCTGAACCCCGACCTGCAGGTGAAAGTGCACAACTACTACGAGTACAAGTACAAGGGCAAGATGTTCGACGAAGACATCATACTCGACGAAATGAACGAATGTCTACGAGAGGTGACATCCTTTACATTAACCAAACCTGGCCAATTAGCCGATCGCGCCTTATTCGCTTAACCGATAACTAATTGAGCAATATTGCTCGAAGGAGCAGAATGCTCAATTGATTCTAGTTAACTCCTGAAAATGAACCATTTTTTCAAATTAAATGGTGGGTTTTGTCATTGTTTATATGCAATATTTTTTAGACCTATATTTGCTTATTTGCTTCAAAGCTTCCTTAGTTTACTTTAAAAAGCGAGCAGCTAAAGAAGTACGTTTGTTGGGTTTTTTGTTCATTCTTCTGGAACTGAATATTCTCATTTTTCTTACAGTAACCAATACTTTGATCACGCTTTCTTTTTCCTCCCCACTTGGATTTTATGGGCTTAAAAATGGCGAGATAGGAATATAGAAAACTAGATTAGAAGATTAAATTTCATGTGTTGTAGTAGTCTTTAATGACAGAACCCAGGGTCCCCAAGGCAGTATAGCTTACGATTACAAAGCAGTGGGATAAGACCCGTCGGTCAGAAATGGTTGATGGAATATCACTTTCATCCCAAGTCGTGTGTTACCATTGGTAACTAAATCTGTCATGACATCTACTTAAGTAGTATTTTCTTGATGAACTAAAAAATTGCCATGCTTCTTTTTGGAAATCATAAGTCAAGTATAATGAAAGTGGCTGAACGTGGCTGCCTTTCATGGTGTACGCTACAAGGACTACAAAATTTACCACAGAAATAAGGCCGAAAACACAAAAGAAGCGCTAAAACGTCGCTGTGCTGAAAGTGCAATTCGAAGCAGGG